TTAAAATATTTTTTAATTAATTTAAAATTAATAAAAATCATGTCCGATTTTGGGTTTCCAAACGAATTTTACAACATTTTTTTAAAACTTCAAATTTATTTAAAATTTATTTTGTATTTTAAAAAGATGAACATGCTGAACACAAAACTGGTGAAGATTAATAAATTGATTTTAAAGTTTTTAAGATATGATCATTGATATGCGTGTATATATAGCCAGTTTTGGACAAGAACTGAACTACAAGGTTACATACATATATAAACAATGTTTTCTAAAACTTTATATTTATACTAGGTTGCTGCCCGCTACTTCGTTAGCGATACATTTTTGGGTTTAAATTTAATTTAAAAACAATAATACAAACGATTTTTTAAATTTCATTATTTGTTGTAATTCATATGCAATATGTCGTCACGTAAAACGCAAACGGACCAATCTAACATTTTTAAAATTTTACAGGAAAAGCAAAAAACTATTTAAATTAAAAAGTTTGTTTCTATCAACGCGAAACGAATTTTTTAACAGTGAAGTCTATACCTTTGCAACTGTCAAGGTGTATATATAAAATTGCTTTTTAGGTCACGATATGTAAATTGAAAGTCGTTTTCATTAACATCCAATAAATCTCAACAGGATAGAGCTACATGAAACTTTGTAGTTTTTTTCTTCGTAATAAATATTTCAAAAATAAATTATATTGTTTATGTCATACATTTTATTATTAAAGGTAAAAAGTCCAATTTATCCAGTTTTATATACGTCATTGTAACTATTAAACATCTGCATGGGTATACTTGTTCTTAAATTCACAGTACTGCATAGTATCAAAATACACGTACACTATTGTGAAAATATTAAACAAGCATGTGCAGGATGTGTAGGTTCGAACAAATGAGTTATAATCACACACAACTTGCTTAATATAGAAACGGAATATTACTCGTCTCGCTCGTTGAGAGTTGTGTAGTGTTTGATATAGTTAGGCAAAAACATCTTTATGAAGCAAAAACATCTCGAAACCTACGAGTGATCAGTGTGATCAGTTCGAACTTTTACGTACAAACAGCTTTCATGCTTTGTAACCATAGTACTGCGCTAATATTGTTTTGAATGCGAAGATTTTCGGCAATTTACATGTGCACAACACGATCGTAAACGAACCTCTTAACAAGGGCGTAAAAAATACAACAATTTTTTTTAGTTGTTTCAAAGCATTCAACAAAGCATGTTGATGTCGCTTTGTTTCAGAAATTACAATTTATTACAAATTATGGAATGCATATGAGTGAAAAAATTTAAAAAATATTTTACACCCATTGATTATTTGCATTTTGTCGATTAAAAGTAAACTCTACATTCTACTAATTGTATTTTATTCTTGTAACAAAGCGTTTTGTTTAAATTAACACAAAATCTATAAAATCACTCATAAGTTGTCTCGAAACATTTCGAAACAGATCATACATTATTCCGATTGGTTTTTCACTTTAACTCTATTGTCTCTATTTTTTTTGTATTTATTTGCTTTTACACTTTTATTGTTGTGTGTGGATGATCAACTGCTTTTTTAACTTCGGCCGCACTACAGACAGTATTCGTAAAATAAACGAGTGACTTGTAAGTCATTTTTAACGCACTAGTGCAGATGTCTAGTAACTATCATAACAAATGTTAGGTTTCACTATTAAACAATTTGTTTATTTCCTACAAAGAAATCGCGTTGATAGAAAAAATTTTTTAATTTAAATATGTAGTTTTTTGCTTCTCCTGTATAATTTTATAAATGTTAGATAGGTCCGTTTGTCTTTTAGATGACGATATGTATATAAAAGAGTTGTGTTACTGACTGACAGATTCATCATCGCACAGCTCAAACGGCTGAACCTAGAATCATGAAATTTTGACAGTGGATGTGTTTTTGGTTATGTAGATCCACTAAGGAGGGATTTTTGGAAATTTGTACATTATTATCTTACACAATATTAGTGATACAAACAAAAATTAAAATTCACCTGTATATACTTTTAAAATGAGATGGGTGTCTGGTACTTTTTTTTAATTCGTACTTTTAAGGGTAAAAGAGTAACAAAAGTGATTTTGGTACCTTATTTATAACTTTTTAACTAAAAATGTAATAAAAATTTGTAAATGTTTTGGGCATATCTTCCAAAATTATGAGAAACCTGTTTCGTACTTTTATTAAATTCACTTCTTTTTGGGTGCTAAAGAGAGAAAAAAGGATTTCTTGTACTTTATTGTATCACATTAAGAAAACTTTTTCGATTTATTGACGCATACCTATTAAATCATGGACTAACTCTGTAATATTTATTGAAACAAAATATTTGCTATTTCATTGGGGAGAAAAAACTACCAAAAAGGGGAAAAACGGAAATTTCACTTTATTCAAAATTATTGTTGAGCCAACTTTTATAAAATAACCTAACCTAACCTAACCTACACCAAATAAGCTATTGGTATATTATTTTCGAATTCGCCTACTAAAGACTATAAAGGACCAAATTTGGGTAATTTTTGAAAACACAGTTTTTCAAATCTGCATTAAGAGTCGTTTAAGTTTTATTTGCGATATACAATATTTAAAAACGGAATATTTTGTAAACTTAATTAAATGTATCATTAGGTAATAAGGGGGAAAATGGTATTCTTTTTATTAGTACTTTCTTCAAACGTAGAATTTATACCACTATTTCATAATTTCAATATTTATCCATAAACAACAATATTTATTTAACAGATTCTCATCAATGATTTTATTAACATGACTGATAAGAATCTCTTCTACTTTTTCTTTCTTCAAATGGTACTTTTTGTATGTTCTCTAATATGAAGACAAAACATAAAGCACATTATACATAGACGGTCCTTATTGAATAACATTTTTTAAGTGAGAACATTTTCGATACTCAAATGGTAGTTTTTAAATTTCCCATTATGTTGAACATAGAAACATACATTTTAACATACAGGGTCCTGACTGAATTCAAAATTGACGTAATATAAAGTAAATTTTTACGATTTTATAAGTATTTTTTGATCATTCGCCTTGGTAATGCACTTTTAATATACAAAATGGCTCTTAAAAAGTTGTTCTTGCGGTCAAAAGAAAAAAACATGGATGATCTTAATGAATGTGAATCAGTGAGACAAATTCCTTTAAAAAATTCTATCCATTAGTTTATAATTTCGCAGATTTAGCTTGTGCAAGACATTCTCATATATAAAACGATCCTTTATTCCATTTATTCAGTTTATTCATTCAATTTATAAAAGTGAACTTTTTGCTACTTTTTCGTTTTTGTAACAAAATACATGTTTTTTATTATTTCGTTTTGTTTATTATTACTTTCAGATTTATTGAGCCAACCCATTTTCAAAAAAGGTAACTGAACAAATTTTATGAATTTTATTTAAATTTAGTAAATTTGTGAATAAAGATTTTTTAAACAAACCTATGTGATTTTATTTTTTTAATAAAAACATAAGAAAATTATAAAAAACGTATAATGGTAAATATAATGAAAACTATGATTGCTGTCAGAAATGTTTATACTTTTTGACACAATATAAATAATTATATGTGATCAGAAGCATAATTTCTTATGTAAGTATGTTTCTATTATATGGGCCGATTGGGCTGATTTTAAATAGCGTTATATTCGATCGTATTTCCAATAGAATGATTGAAAATTCGGATCTCGTAGATATCTGGGGTCTTCTGAAAACTGATTTCAACATACACACAGACAGACGGACATGGCTAATTCGCCTCCGCTATCTATAAAGATCCAGAATATATATACTTTATAGGGTCGGAAAATTATATTATAGAAATTACAAACGGAATGACAAACTTATATATACCCTTCTCACAGATTATAGACTAGACTTAAGTTCAGACTATATAAACAGACTTTAGTCCAAACTATAGAATAGACTATGGTGTTGTTTACAATCCAGACTTGACAATACTAGACCTTAGTCCAAACTATATACTAGTTTATAATACAGAATATAGACTTTAGTCCAGACTGTATTCTAAACTATAGTCCAGACTATAGACTAGACTATAGTCCAGACTATAGACTAGACTATAGTCCAGACTAGACTATAGCTGACAGCCCAGACTATAGGCTAGCTATAGTCTAGTCGGGACTGTAGACTAGAATATAGACCAGACTATAGACAAAACATAGTCCAAACTATAGACTAGACTGTAGTTCAGGCTATAGACTAGACTATAGCTCATAGTCCTAACTATAGACTAGAATATAGTCCTGATTACAGCCTAGACTACAGTCCAGATTATAGACTAGACTTTAGTTCAGACTATAAACTACAGTCCAGACTATAGACTAGACTTTAGTTATGTTATGTTTTGTTATGCTACTGTTATGTTTTGTTGAAAACAATGAGGATATCTGTAGTGGATTTCTTATTTTTTTATTTTGCAATACTATGTCTAAAATGAAAAATAAAAAAAAGGAAATTAGAACAGTAATAACATAGGAATTCTGTTTAAATATTTATTTTCCTCAAATACCAGTTGTTGGTACGAATCTTGCAAAAAATTGGCTCCAAAAACATCGGCATTTTGATCTTTAAGAGCGGATTTTTGAGATGGTAATCAAATGCCAATTAATAATCAGATTAGTTAATCGAAAAATAAATTTAATCTTATGTTAATCTCCCTTTGATGTTTTTGTGTACAAGATTAAACTTCGCATTGTTGCCATACAAAACAACAGAAAACTTCACTGTTTGTTATCAAAACAATGCATATTTTATAAAAAGAAGAAGACAATTGTAAATTTAATATGAAAATTAATGAAAACTTAAATTAAAAACAAAAAAATGTATTTTGAAGTGTCCATAATTTATACTAATCAATAAATAGAACATTTTAATGTTTATATTTATAAAAATTTTATTAATTTTTTTGCATCAGCTGTTTACACTTTTGCATTTCGTGCTTAAGATTAAACCACCTCCATTGGGAGCTTAAACTTGCAAACAAAATTAACTAATTGAGTACTCAAAAACATCTTTCGAGGATTAATTTTAATTTAATCGCTAATCTTTCACCTAAAGATTGGCCCTAAACCAAGTACTCAAATCATGATTGTTCACTTGTTTTTCATATTTTTCTATTAGAGGCCATAAATTCTCAATAATTTCCGAAACATTTTTCAAAGATATGGCTGCATCAAGTTTTAGCAATGTTTCGATAGCGCTTGAATCATGAACTTGTTGCGGTCTCATATTCCACGTATAAAAGTAATTGTCTCGACCCGTCGCAGTTACTAATTTCATCGGATAATGCAGATCTACCCAAAGAACGATTGATATATTACGCTTGTGCTGTTCGTTTTTTGTGCTAAATGTAATAAATTTACTTTTATTGTTATTGGCTTTTACGGAAAGCTTCCTTTGTGTTCTACCAAAGTTTGCAAAGTGCATTTGTTGCAAACATAACAAAACCTTGGAACGCCATTTAATTTTAGCACTTTGAACAGCCACCAAATGGGGTACATGATAAAGCAATGTCTTTTGATATATCAGAACTTGGCAGTACTGCAAAATCCGTCTGCAAATCAGAAAATAAAGTTAATTGGTCTGGCATCACCCTTCTGAACAAAAAAGAGAAAGCACTCAATTCGCTGCACAATTGAGTAATTCTCTCTTTGCAGATTGAATGAAAAATGAGTAGTTTGATAAACCACTTTGTTATTTTCCTGCCGGCAAGTATGAAAACTATTTTTTACAAACCACCACAAACGTAAACTGTCATCCAAAGCATTTTGTTTTAATAACAATAAATTTTAGGCATTTCTGATATATAATTTGTGATATTTACATTTATTATTTTATCACAAACTAATTATTTAAAAATAATACAAATTTATACATACATATTTACATGATTAAGTAAAAGGATTTAAATTGGCATCATATTCATTGAGGGTATTACTTTCTGCTTTCTCTTCACTTTCGAATGGATTGGATGATATATTTAAATTTTTTTCATTTTGCAAATTTTTAGTATATAAATATTTATCATCACATTTAAAAGCCAGTTGTCCTATTTTTTCAGAAATATTGAATAACAAGGTATTTTTAGTTTTATTACAACTATTATCCGCAGTATTATAAATTTGATCTGGATTGTTTATTTTTTGTTTCAACATTTGATTATCTGTACATATAATACAAATTACTACTCCACTATATTGTTTGATACATTCTCTATGATACGCATGTTGGCATAAGAAGTACAATGCAGGTTGCTTTATCATTTGTTTGCAAATATCACATAACCTATTTCGAAATTCTATTGGCCGTTTTAAATAATTATGTAAAATATCTTCCATTTTAACAACTTGCGCCTTCAAAAGTATTACAGTGTTACACAGCTCTTCGCTTTCGTAATGTATAAAAACGTTTTCATGCAAAAGAATTTCATTTAGATGTGATAGTAAAAAATCATTTCGGGTCACAAAACTGTATAGAACATTCATAATAAAGTTGGGATTAGTCTTAATTATATTTCTAACTATATCGCCGACAAAATTTAGAGAAGTTGTTCTAGCCAGATTTTCCTTCCGTAGAGTTCGAATCCATAGATGGTTTACTTTTTGACCACCGAATATATTCATATATCCAGGAAACATTTCAAAACTATTAGCTAAACATCTTGTGCTAAGTATTTCCATATTACATTTATCATACATCATTCTGATACCTGGCCAAAAGTTGTAGTTTCGGCATAATATAAAAACATTGTCAATGCATATTTCTGATTCATGTATTTTAAAAAAGTCTATTACAAAGTTTAAATCAATATTTCCTCTATCCCACATTTGTAATATCAATTCAATCCAAATATTATATATTGTGTATTTTCCGCAATCTTTAAACAATTTATCTACAAAATCGATAGCGCATAATTTATTCATAAGTGATAATGATAGTATTATACTATGAAATATATAATTTTTTAAGAAGCGGTTTGATAATAAATTATTTATTACTTCCTTTAATTCATTTGGATATTTTTTTATCAAGCCGTATCCATATTCTGAAAAAAAATCTAGTACTTCAGAAGTTTTTAATTCATTGAAAGATGTAATGCGGGCATATTCATTCTGCTGTAAAGTTTTCAAAATCAAGTTTTCTTTATCAGATTTTCTTATTGATTTTTCTATGTATAGTTCAAGACTTTTGGTACCTTTTTCTTCAAAAATGTGAAAAGTATTTGACGGAAGCTCAACACGTTCAAAGCAATTATTAAGTAGATCAACTTTTTGACTTTTTTCGGCTTTTATTTACAAAGTCGACTTTTTTCATAGACGATAGTCGAGTTATCGACTTTTTTGGAACAAAATAGTCGACTTCGACTTTTCGACTTTTTTCGACAAAAAGTCGATTGTTCGATTATTCGAAAGTCGATTTATAGAACCCTAATTTTTAGTACACATATATTGATAAACTTGGCATTACTTTTAAACGTCATATATTATTTTTTTAAGCAACATTTTTTATTCTTTTGCAGGATTGGCGCGTTGGATGGAGAAACTTGACTATGGAACATTGGAGCACATATCTGTGCATTGGAGGATAGTGAAGAACACTGGAGGATAGCGGAAAAACTGGAAACTGCTTCAATCCTGGAAATAATGTAAGAGTAAAAATTGTAGAGGATGAAAATAGTATTTGTTGGACTTTTAAAAACAATTTTTGTTAATATGCTCATAGTAAAATTTTTATTGAAGAAAATACAGTGACTCAAAATCGGACATGATTTTTATTAAGTTTAAATAAAATAAAAAATATTTTAAAAATTACTTTTTTTTAGATTTTAATTATTTGCATGATTTTAGTGGTATACTTGCCTATTACTCTAATAAAAATTTCTAAAAGATTTATTTTCTTTATAGAAATATTCTACATTAAAGAAGAAATATAAGTAAGCATTTTAAAGTCAAACGCAAAATCGATTTTGCTTCTTTATCATTAAAAATGTATCCAGTTTTACTTAATTGTGTGTTCCATGGTGTTTACATCTTTAACGGCGGTCTAGGAACTATAGAAATAAGGCATCCTAATATTCGAAAAGGAGGAAATACGAAATCTGTACCAAATATAAATAAAATCATGACATAAATGAACATAATTTTAATATTAAAGCGTTAAGGTCAATGAAAAATTTTAAATGGAAAAAGTAAAGCCCGTACATTACTCGAGGTGATAAAAATCCTTCAAAAGTAAAGTAAACTAATATGTATAAGAAAGTCGGCATGAGGTAAAGCACGCTTATAAATTTTTTACTGGTCAAGTTTAAAAACTGTTGATTTATAAGCGCTAAAAATATAACTACGTTTAAATGTTTCTATAGAATATTCACATCAGGACAAATTAGTTCTTTTGGAATACTAAAACTAAACTATAATATGTTCTATGCACTCATATATAGTCTAGTGTATTCTCCCGACATTATACTGGCATATAGTCTCAACAATAGTTACTTTTAGGTCTTATAAAACGACCGTTTTCAAAACTTGACCATAAAAAATTTCTAAGCGTGCTTTTACTCATGCCGACTTTCTTACATTAAGATGACTTATTTCTATAGTTCCTAAACCGCCCCTGGAGATATCTTCATATAGATACCATGGAACACACAATTATATAAAGAAAAGAAAACTTTTGTAAATTTGTATGAAAATAATAAGATATTATACCACTTATACAAATGAATATAATCTCAAAAAGCCGTTTTTAAAATATTTTTTAATTAATTTAAAATTAATAAAAATCATGTCCGATTTTGGGTTTCCAAACGAATTTTACAACATTTTTTTAAAACTTCAAATTTATTTAAAATTTATTTTGTATTTTAAAAAGATGAACATGCTGAACACAAAACTGGTGAAGATTAATAAATTGATTTTAAAGTTTTTAAGATATGATCATTGATATGCGTGTATATATAGCCAGTTTTGGACAAGAACTGAACTACAAGGTTACATACATATATAAACAATGTTTTCTAAAACTTTATATTTATACTAGGTTGCTGCCCGCTACTTCGTTAGCGATACATTTTTGGGTTTAAATTTAATTTAAAAACAATAATACAAACGATTTTTTAAATTTCATTATTTGTTGTAATTCATATGCAATATGTCGTCACGTAAAACGCAAACGGACCAATCTAACATTTTTAAAATTTTACAGGAAAAGCAAAAAACTATTTAAATTAAAAAGTTTGTTTCTATCAACGCGAAACGAATTTTTTAACAGTGAAGTCTATACCTTTGCAACTGTCAAGGTGTATATATAAAATTGCTTTTTAGGTCACGATATGTAAATTGAAAGTCGTTTTCATTAACATCCAATAAATCTCAACAGGATAGAGCTACATGAAACTTTGTAGTTTTTTTCTTCGTAATAAATATTTCAAAAATAAATTATATTGTTTATGTCATACATTTTATTATTAAAGGTAAAAAGTCCAATTTATCCAGTTTTATATACGTCATTGTAACTATTAAACATCTGCATGGGTATACTTGTTCTTAAATTCACAGTACTGCATAGTATCAAAATACACGTACACTATTGTGAAAATATTAAACAAGCATGTGCAGGATGTGTAGGTTCGAACAAATGAGTTATAATCACACACAACTTGCTTAATATAGAAACGGAATATTACTCGTCTCGCTCGTTGAGAGTTGTGTAGTGTTTGATATAGTTAGGCAAAAACATCTTTATGATAGCAAAAACATCTCGAAACCTACGAGTGATCAGTGTGATCAGTTCGAACTTTTACGTACAAACAGCTTTCATGCTTTGTAACCATAGTACTGCGCTAATATTGTTTTGAATGCGAAGATTTTCGGCAATTTACATGTGCACAACACGATCGTAAACGAACCTCTTAACAAGGGCGTAAAAAATACAACAATTTTTTTTAGTTGTTTCAAAGCATTCAACAAAGCATGTTGATGTCGCTTTGTTTCAGAAATTACAATTTATTACAAATTATGGAATGCATATGAGTGAAAAAATTTAAAAAATATTTTACACCCATTGATTATTTGCATTTTGTCGATTAAAAGTAAACTCTACATTCTACTAATTGTATTTTATTCTTGTAACAAAGCGTTTTGTTTAAATTAACACAAAATCTATAAAATCACTCATAAGTTGTCTCGAAACATTTCGAAACAGATCATACATTATTCCGATTGGTTTTTCACTTTAACTCTATTGTCTCTATTTTTTTTGTATTTATTTGCTTTTACACTTTTATTGTTGTGTGTGGATGATCAACTGCTTTTTTAACTTCGGCCGCACTACAGACAGTATTCGTAAAATAAACGAGTGACTTGTAAGTCATTTTTAACGCACTAGTGCAGATGTCTAGTAACTATCATAACAAATGTTAGGTTTCACTATTAAACAATTTGTTTATTTCCTACAAAGAAATCGCGTTGATAGAAAAAATTTTTTAATTTAAATATGTAGTTTTTTGCTTCTCCTGTATAATTTTATAAATGTTAGATAGGTCCGTTTGTCTTTTAGATGACGATATGTATATAAAAGAGTTGTGTTACTGACTGACAGATTCATCATCGCACAGCTCAAACGGCTGAACCTAGAATCATGAAATTTTGACAGTGGATGTGTTTTTGGTTATGTAGATCCACTAAGGAGGGATTTTTGGAAATTTGTACATTATTATCTTACACAATATTAGTGATACAAACAAAAATTAAAATTCACCTGTATATACTTTTAAAATGAGATGGGTGTCTGGTACTTTTTTTTAATTCGTACTTTTAAGGGTAAAAGAGTAACAAAAGTGATTTTGGTACCTTATTTATAACTTTTTAACTAAAAATGTAATAAAAATTTGTAAATGTTTTGGGCATATCTTCCAAAATTATGAGAAACCTGTTTCGTACTTTTATTAAATTCACTTCTTTTTGGGTGCTAAAGAGAGAAAAAAGGATTTCTTGTACTTTATTGTATCACATTAAGAAAACTTTTTCGATTTATTGACGCATACCTATTAAATCATGGACTAACTCTGTAATATTTATTGAAACAAAATATTTGCTATTTCATTGGGGAGAAAAAACTACCAAAAAGGGGAAAAACGGAAATTTCACTTTATTCAAAATTATTGTTGAGCCAACTTTTATAAAATAACCTAACCTAACCTAACCTACACCAAATAAGCTATTGGTATATTATTTTCGAATTCGCCTACTAAAGACTATAAAGGACCAAATTTGGGTAATTTTTGAAAACACAGTTTTTCAAATCTGCATTAAGAGTCGTTTAAGTTTTATTTGCGATATACAATATTTAAAAACGGAATATTTTGTAAACTTAATTAAATGTATCATTAGGTAATAAGGGGGAAAATGGTATTCTTTTTATTAGTACTTTCTTCAAACGTAGAATTTATACCACTATTTCATAATTTCAATATTTATCCATAAACAACAATATTTATTTAACAGATTCTCATCAATGATTTTATTAACATGACTGATAAGAATCTCTTCTACTTTTTCTTTCTTCAAATGGTACTTTTTGTATGTTCTCTAATATGAAGACAAAACATAAAGCACATTATACATAGACGGTCCTTATTGAATAACATTTTTTAAGTGAGAACATTTTCGATACTCAAATGGTAGTTTTTAAATTTCCCATTATGTTGAACATAGAAACATACATTTTAACATACAGGGTCCTGACTGAATTCAAAATTGACGTAATATAAAGTAAATTTTTACGATTTTATAAGTATTTTTTGATCATTCGCCTTGGTAATGCACTTTTAATATACAAAATGGCTCTTAAAAAGTTGTTCTTGCGGTCAAAAGAAAAAAACATGGATGATCTTAATGAATGTGAATCAGTGAGACAAATTCCTTTAAAAAATTCTATCCATTAGTTTATAATTTCGCAGATTTAGCTTGTGCAAGACATTCTCATATATAAAACGATCCTTTATTCCATTTATTCAGTTTATTCATTCAATTTATAAAAGTGAACTTTTTGCTACTTTTTCGTTTTTGTAACAAAATACATGTTTTTTATTATTTCGTTTTGTTTATTATTACTTTCAGATTTATTGAGCCAACCCATTTTCAAAAAAGGTAACTGAACAAATTTTATGAATTTTATTTAAATTTAGTAAATTTGTGAATAAAGATTTTTTAAACAAACCTATGTGATTTTATTTTTTTAATAAAAACATAAGAAAATTATAAAAAACGTATAATGGTAAATATAATGAAAACTATGATTGCTGTCAGAAATGTTTATACTTTTTGACACAATATAAATAATTATATGTGATCAGAAGCATCATTTCTTATGTAAGTATGTTTCTATTATATGGGCCGATTGGGCTGATTTTAAATAGCGTTATATTCGATCGTATTTCCAATAGAATGATTGAAAATTCGGATCTCGTAGATATCTGGGGTCTTCTGAAAACTGATTTCAACATACACACAGACAGACGGACATGGCTAATTCGCCTCCGCTATCTATAAAGATCCAGAATATATATACTTTATAGGGTCGGAAAATTATATTATAGAAATTACAAACGGAATGACAAACTTATGTATATATACCCTTCTCACAGATTATAGACTAGACTTAAGTTCAGACTATATAAACAGACTTTAGTCCAAACTATAGAATAGACTATGGTGTTGTTTACAATCCAGACTTGACAATACTAGACCTTAGTCCAAACTATATACTAGTTTATAATACAGAATATAGACTTTAGTCCAGACTGTATTCTAAACTATAGTCCAGACTATAGACTAGACTATAGTCCAGACTATAGACTAGACTATAGTCCAGACTAGACTATAGCTGACAGCCCAGACTATAGGCTAGCTATAGTCTAGTCGGGACTGTAGACTAGAATATAGACCAGACTATAGACAAAACATAGTCCAAACTATAGACTAGACTGTAGTTCAGGCTATAGACTAGACTATAGCTCATAGTCCTAACTATAGACTAGAATATAGTCCTGATTACAGCCTAGACTACAGTCCAGATTATAGACTAGACTTTAGTTCAGACTATAAACTACAGTCCAGACTATAGACTAGACTTTAGTTATGTTATGTTTTGTTATGCTACTGTTATGTTTTGTTGAAAACAATGAGGATATCTGTAGTGGATTTCTTATTTTTTTATTTTGCAATACTATGTCTAAAATGAAAAATAAAAAAAAGGAAATTAGAACAGTAATAACATAGGAATTCTGTTTAAATATTTATTTTCCTCAAATACCAGTTGTTGGTACGAATCTTGCAAAAAATTGGCTCCAAAAACATCGGCATTTTGATCTTTAAGAGCGGATTTTTGAGATGGTAATCAAATGCCAATTAATAATCAGATTAGTTAATCGAAAAATAAATTTAATCTTATGTTAATCCCCTTTGATGTTTTTGTGTACAAGATTAAACTTCGCATTGTTGCCATACAAAACAACAGAAAACTTCACTGTTTGTTATCAAAACAATGCATATTTTATAAAAAGAAGAAGACAATTGTAAATTTAATATGAAAATTAATGAAAACTTAAATTAAAAACAAAAAAATGTATTTTGAAGTGTCCATAATTTATACTAATCAATAAATAGAACATTTTAATGTTTATATTTATAAAAATTTTATTAATTTTTTGCATCAGCTGTTTACACTTTTGCATTTCGTGCTTAAGATTAAACCACCTCCATTGGGAGCTTAAACTTGCAAACAAAATTAACTAATTGAGTACTCAAAAACATCTTTCGAGGATTAATTTTAATTTAATCGCTAATCTTTCACCTAAAGATTGGCCCTAAACCAAGTACTCAAATCATGATTGTTCACTTGTTTTTCATATTTTTCTATTAGAGGCCATAAATTCTCAATAATTTCCGAAACATTTTTCAAAGATATGGCTGCATCAAGTTTTAGCAATGTTTCGATAGCGCTTGAATCATGAACTTGTTGCGGTCTCATATTCCACGTATAAAAGTAATTGTCTCGACCCGTCGCAGTTACTAATTTCATCGGATAATGCAGATCTACCCAAAGAACGATTGATATATTACGCTTGTGCTGTTCGTTTTTTGTGCTAAATGTAATAAATTTACTTTTATTGTTATTGGCTTTTACGGAAAGCTTCCTTTGTGTTCTACCAAAGTTTGCAAAGTGCATTTGTTGCAAACATAACAAAACCTTGGAACGCCATTTAATTTTAGCACTTTGAACAGCCACCAAATGGGGTACATGATAAAGCAATGTCTTTTGATATATCAGAACTTGGCAGTACTGCAAAATCCGTCTGCAAATCAGAAAATAAAGTTAATTGGTCTGGCATCACCCTTCTGAACAAAAAAGAGAAAGCACTCAATTCGCTGCACAATTGAGTAATTCTCTCTTTGCAGATTGAATGAAAAATGAGTAGTTTGATAAACCACTTTGTTATTTTCCTGCCGGCAAGTATGAAAACTATTTTTTACAAACCACCACAAACGTAAACTGTCATCCAAAGCATTTTGTGTTAATAACAATAAATTTTAGGCATTTCTGATATATAATTTGTGATATTTACATTTATTATTTTATCACAAACTAATTATTTAAAAATAATACAAATTTATACATACATATTTACATGATTAAGTAAAAGGATTTAAATTGGCATCATATTCATTGAGGGTATTACTTTCTGCTTTCTCTTCACTTTCGAATGGATTGGATGATATATTTAAATTTTTTTCATTTTGCAAATTTTTAGTATATAAATATTTATCATCACATTTAAAAGCCAGTTGTCCTATTTTTTCAGAAATATTGAATAACAAGGTATTTTTAGTTTTATTACAACTATTATCCGCAGTATTATAAATTTGATCTGGATTGTTTATTTTTTGTTTCAACATTTGATTATCTGTACATATAATACAAATTACTACTCCACTATATTGTTTGATACATTCTCTATGATACGCATGTTGGCATAAGAAGTACAATGCAGGTTGCTTTATCATTTGTTTGCAAATATCACATAACCTATTTCGAAATTCTATTGGCCGTTTTAAATAATTATGTAAAATATCTTCCATTTTAACAACTTGCGCCTTCAAAAGTATTACAGTGTTACACAGCTCTTCGCTTTCGTAATGTATAAAAACGTTTTCATGCAAAAGAATTTCATTTAGATGTGATAGTAAAAAATCATTTCGGGTCACAAAACTGTATAGAACATTCATAATAAAGTTGGGATTAGTCTTAATTATATTTCTAACTATATCGCCGACAAAATTTAGAGAAGTTGTTCTAGCCAGATTTTCCTTCCGTAGAGTTCGAATCCATAGATGGTTTACTTTTTGACCACCGAATATATTCATATATCCAGGAAACATTTCAAAACTATTAGCTAAACATCTTGTGCTAAGTATTTCCATATTACATTTATCATACATCATTCTGATACCTGGCCAAAAGTTGTAGTTTCGGCATAATATAAAAACATTGTCAATGCATATTTCTGATTCATGTATTTTAAAAAAGTCTATTACAAAGTTTAAATCAATATTTCCTCTATCCCACATTTGTAATATCAATTCAATCCAAATATTATATATTGTGTATTTTCCGCAATCTTTAAACAATTTATCTACAAAATCGATAGCGCATAATTTATTCATAAGTGATAATGATAGTATTATACTATGAAATATATAATTTTTTAAGAAGCGGTTTGATAATAAATTATTTATTACTTCCTTTAATTCATTTGGATATTTTTTTATCAAGCCGTATCCATATTCTGAAAAAAAATCTAGTACTTCAGAAGTTTTTAATTCATTGAAAGATGTAATGCGGGCATATTCATTCTGCTGTAAAGTTTTCAAAATCAAGTTTTCTTTATCAGATTTTCTTATTGATTTTTCTATGTATAGTTCAAGACTTTTGGTACCTTTTTCTTCAAAAATGTGAAAAGTATTTGACGGAAGCTCAACACGTTCAAAGCAATTATTAAGTAGATCAACTTTTTGACTTTTTTCGGCTTTTATTTACAAAGTCGACTTTTTTCATAGACGATAGTCGAGTTATCGACTTTTTTGGAACAAAATAGTCGACTTCGACTTTTCGACTTTTTTCGACAAAAAGTCGATTGTTCGATTATTCGAAAGTCGATTTATAGAACCCTAATTTTTAGTACACATATATTGATAAACTTGGCATTACTTTTAAACGTCATATATTATTTTTTTAAGCAACATTTTTTATTCTTTTGCAGGATTGGCGCGTTGGATGGAGAAACTTGACTATGGAACATTGGAGCACATATCTGTGCATTGGAGGATAGTGAAGAACACTGGAGGATAGCGGAAAAACTGGAAACTGCTTCAATCCTGGAAATAATGTAAGAGTAAAAATTGTAGAGGATGAAAATAGTATTTGTTGGACTTTTAAAAACAATTTTTGTTAATATGCTCATAGTAAAATTTTTATTGAAGAAAATACAGTGACTCAAAATCGGACATGATTTTTATTAAGTTTAAATAAAATAAAAAATATTTTAAAAATTACTTTTTTTTAGATTTTAATTATTTGCATGATTTTAGTGGTATACTTGCCTATTACTCTAATAAAAATTTCTAAAAGATTTATTTTCTTTATAGAAATATTCTACATTAAAGAAGAAATATAAGTAAGCATTTTAAAGTCAAACGCAAAATCGATTTTGCTTCTTTATCATTAAAAATGTATCCAGTTTTACTTAATTGTGTGTTCCATGGTGTTTACATCTTTAACGGCGGTCTAGGAACTATAGAAATAAGGCATCCTAATATTCGAAAAGGAGGAAATACGAAATCTGTACCAAATATAAATAAAATCATGACATAAATGAACATAATTTTAATATTAAAGCGTTAAGGTCAATGAAAAATTTTAAATGGAAAAAGTAAAGCCCGTACATTACTCGAGGTGATAAAAATCCTTCAAAAGTAAAGTAAACTAATATGTATAAGAAAGTCGGCATGAGGTAAAGCACGCTTATAAATTTTTTACGGTCAAGTTTAAAAACTGTTGATTTATAAGCGCTAAAAATATAACTACGTTTAAATGTTTCTATAGAATATTCACATCAGGACAAATTAGTTCTTTTGGAATACTAAAACTAAACTATAATATGTTCTATGCACTCATATATAGTCTAGTGTATTCTCCCGACATTATACTGGCATATAGTCTCAACAATAGTTACTTTTAGGTCTTATAAAACGACCGTTTTCAAAACTTGACCATAAAAAATTTCTAAGCGTGCTTTTACTCATGCCGACTTTCTTACATTAAGATGACTTATTTCTATAGTTCCTAAACCGCCCCTGGAGATATCTTCATATAGATACCATGGAACACACAATTATATAAAGAAAAGAAAACTTTTGTAAATTTGTATGAAAATAATAAGATATTATACCACTTATACAAATGAATATAATCTCAAAAAGCCGTTTTTAAAATATTTTTTAATTAATTTAAAATTAATAAAAATCATGTCCGATTTTGGGTTTCCAAACGAATTTTACAACATTTTTTTAAAACTTCAAATTTATTTAAAATTTATTTTGTATTTTAAAAAGATGAACATGCTGAACACAAAACTGGTGAAGATTAATAAATTGATTTTAAAGTTTTTAAGATATGATCATTGATATGCGTGTATATATAGCCAGTTTTGGACAAGAACTGAACTACAAGGTTACATACATATATAAACAATGTTTTCTAAAACTTTATATTTATACTAGGTTGCTGCCCGCTACTTCGTTAGCGATACATTTTTGGGTTTAAATTTAATTTAAAAACAATAATACAAACGATTTTTTAAATTTCATTATTTGTTGTAATTCATATGCAATATGTCGTCACGTAAAACGCAAACGGACCAATCTAACATTTTTAAAATTTTACAGGAAAAGCAAAAAACTATTTAAATTAAAAAGTTTGTTTCTATCAACGCGAAACGAATTTTTTAACAGTGAAGTCTATACCTTTGCAACTGTCAAGGTGTATATATAAAATTGCTTTTTAGGTCACGATATGTAAATTGAAAGTCGTTTTCATTAACATCCAATAAATCTCAACAGGATAGAGCTACATGAAACTTTGTAGTTTTTTTCTTCGTAATAAATATTTCAAAAATAAATTATATTGTTTATGTCATACATTTTATTATTAAAGGTAAAAAGTCCAATTTATCCAGTTTTATATACGTCATTGTAACTATTAAACATCTGCATGGGTATACTTGTTCTTAAATTCACAGTACTGCATAGTATCAAAATACACGTACACTATTGTGAAAATATTAAACAAGCATGTGCAGGATGTGTAGGTTCGAACAAATGAGTTATAATCACACACAACTTGCTTAATATAGAAACGGAATATTACTCGTCTCGCTCGTTGAGAGTTGTGTAGTGTTTGATATAGTTAGGCAAAAACATCTTTATGATAGCAAAAACATCTCGAAACCTACGAGTGATCAGTGTGATCAGTTCGAACTTTTACGTACAAACAGCTTTCATGCTTTGTAACCATAGTACTGCGCTAATATTGTTTTGAATGCGAAGATTTTCGGCAATTTACATGTGCACAACACGATCGTAAACGAACCTCTTAACAAGGGCGTAAAAAATACAACAATTTTTTTTAGTTGTTTCAAAGCATTCAACAAAGCATGTTGATGTCGCTTTGTTTCAGAAATTACAATTTATTACAAATTATGGAATGCATATGAGTGAAAAAATTTAAAAAATATTTTACACCCATTGATTATTTGCATTTTGTCGATTAAAAGTAAACTCTACATTCTACTAATTGTATTTTATTCTTGTAACAAAGCGTTTTGTTTAAATTAACACAAAATCTATAAAATCACTCATAAGTTGTCTCGAAACATTTCGAAACAGATCATACATTATTCCGATTGGTTTTTCACTTTAACTCTATTGTCTCTATTTTTTTTGTATTTATTTGCTTTTACACTTTTATTGTTGTGTGTGGATGATCAACTGCTTTTTTAACTTCGGCCGCACTACAGACAGTATTCGTAAAATAAACGAGTGACTTGTAAGTCATTTTTAACGCACTAGTGCAGATGTCTAGTAACTATCATAACAAATGTTAGGTTTCACTATTAAACAATTTGTTTATTTCCTACAAAGAAATCGCGTTGATAGAAAAAATTTTTTAATTTAAATATGTAGTTTTTTGCTTCTCCTGTATAATTTTATAAATGTTAGATAGGTCCGTTTGTCTTTTAGATGACGATATGTATATAAAAGAGTTGTGTTACTGACTGACAGATTCATCATCGCACAGCTCAAACGGCTGAACCTAGAATCATGAAATTTTGACAGTGGATGTGTTTTTGGTTATGTAGATCCACTAAGGAGGGATTTTTGGAAATTTGTACATTATTATCTTACACAATATTAGTGATACAAACAAAAATTAAAATTCACCTGTATATACTTTTAAAATGAGATGGGTGTCTGGTACTTTTTTTTAATTCGTACTTTTAAGGGTAAAAGAGTAACAAAAGTGATTTTGGTACCTTATTTATAACTTTTTAACTAAAAATGTAATAAAAATTTGTAAATGTTTTGGGCATATCTTCCAAAATTATGAGAAACCTGTTTCGTACTTTTATTAAATTCACTTCTTTTTGGGTGCTAAAGAGAGAAAAAAGGATTTCTTGTACTTTATTGTATCACATTAAGAAAACTTTTTCGATTTATTGACGCATACCTATTAAATCATGGACTAACTCTGTAATATTTATTGAAACAAAATATTTGCTATTTCATTGGGGAGAAAAAACTACCAAAAAGGGGAAAAACGGAAATTTCACTTTATTCAAAATTATTGTTGAGCCAACTTTTATAAAATAACCTAACCTAACCTAACCTAACCTACACCAAATAAGCTATTGGTATATTATTTTCGAATTCGCCTACTAAAGACTATAAAGGACCAAATTTGGGTAATTTTTGAAAACACAGTTTTTCAAATCTGCATTAAGAGTCGTTTAAGTTTTATTTGCGATATACAATATTTAAAAACGGAATATTTTGTAAACTTAATTAAATGTATCATTAGGTAATAAGGGGGAAAATGGTATTCTTTTTATTAGTACTTTCTTCAAACGTAGAATTTATACCACTATTTCATAATTTCAATATTTATCCATAAACAACAATATTTATTTAACAGATTCTCATCAATGATTTTATTAACATGACTGATAAGAATCTCTTCTACTTTTTCTTTCTTCAAATGGTACTTTTTGTATGTTCTCTAATATGAAGACAAAACATAAAGCACATTATACATAGACGGTCCTTATTGAATAACATTTTTTAAGTGAGAACATTTTCGATACTCAAATGGTAGTTTTTAAATTTCCCATTATGTTGAACATAGAAACATACATTTTAACATACAGGGTCCTGACTGAATTCAAAATTGACGTAATATAAAGTAAATTTTTACGATTTTATAAGTATTTTTTGATCATTCGCCTTGGTAATGCACTTTTAATATACAAAATGGCTCTTAAAAAGTTGTTCTTGCGGTCAAAAGAAAAAAACATGGATGATCTTAATGAATGTGAATCAGTGAGACAAATTCCTTTAAAAAATTCTATCCATTAGTTTATAATTTCGCAGATTTAGCTTGTGCAAGACATTCTCATATATAAAACGATCCTTTATTCCATTTATTCAGTTTATTCATTCAATTTATAAAAGTGAACTTTTTGCTACTTTTTCGTTTTTGTAACAAAATACATGTTTTTTATTATTTCGTTTTGTTTATTATTACTTTCAGATTTATTGAGCCAACCCATTTTCAAAAAAGGTAACTGAACAAATTTTATGAATTTTATTTAAATTTAGTAAATTTGTGAATAAAGATTTTTTAAACAAACCTATGTGATTTTATTTTTTTAATAAAAACATAAGAAAATTATAAA